TTCATTTCTTTTACCTAGGAGGTATTATTCAACAGTCGTGAAATGTCTAAACACCCAGTTAGCAAACATTATATAGCACAATGACTATGTTAAGAAACACCGTCAGTTTCGACAAACTTGCCTTAAGAAGCTTTCGCAAGATAGGAGTCTTAATGAATTCCCTTCTGTACCTCTTCATTATGTTGTGTAACATCTGCAAACCTGTAAAAATAAGGAAAGTCGCACATCCATGAAAATGGTTGCGATTGTAAAACAAGTCTAACTGACATGAAAAACATTTTGAACAACAAATCACCGAAAACTACCATTCTTGTTAATTATATCAATTAGAACAGTCCGTGATTTTGTCTTCAAGATGGCATCCAAGATCATTGAAAGATCTCGATTACTACAAAAGGGAAAACAAGATAGTATATCATAGAATCAATCCCACAAAAATAAACAACTAGGTTTTACTGTCTTGAATAACAAAACTACTTGAAGAAAAACCTCTAGGAAGTAACAATTCTATATTACCTCTGAATGGCTTCACCATGCCCATTATTCCCGGAAGCAGCAGTAAGAAAAAGAAGCTTCAAGTAACCTCTTGATGCATCCTATTGGAAAATAAGACAACTTAATAAATTGAAAACAAGTTAAATGCAAACAAAACAGGATCAAATTCATGATATCAATTTTACACGCAACACGGCATAACAAAAAAATTTACGAATTCAGATATTACATAGTAACAATATTCGGAATCAAGGAACCAAAAATTATCGCTTACTTCTACAATTCGAAAATAACAAAGTATCAGATGCACCAGAAAACCGAGTAAGAGTACAGGTACAACTAACAGGTGAGATAGAACTTACTTTCCGCTTGCTTATTCCCCCTTCAGGATCTAGCAACTCATTTAGTTTCTCCTCAACTGCAAGCAATTAGTTGTCATTGCAGTAAAATACAAGCAGAATTACCTCAAAAACAAAATTAACAGAAAAATCATCTACCTGCTTCAAAATGGCTATTTAAGGAAAGTGCTGGTAATCTTTTGGGTTTGTAGGGCACAATAATTGACTTGTCAACATCTGGAGTTCTTTTGCCAGTCATAACATTAGTTTTAAGCTTTCCCTTCTTTACTGTAGATGATGAATGATGAGATTTTGCAAGAATAGACTCCATAAATTCTTCGCTTCTTCCACCAGTACCGGATTTTAACTTCCTCCTTGTTTTAACCAATTTTTTAGGCGGTCCAGTATGGGCAGTCATCTCATTTTCAAGAGCAGAGAAAAAGGAATTTGTAGTGTTCTTTTCTGCTATAGAAAACTCGTGCTTAACTGCAGATATAGCTTCTTTTGTAAGATCATCTGGTTGTAAGGATACATCAATGGGTTGAACAGAAGAATGTCTCTGGCCCATTGAAGTCCTTAAGCAACCATCACCTGAAACAGGGCCAACACTTTCAACTTCATTTCTAGTTGAAGTTTCTGAAGTGTGTGTTTCGGAAATGTTCTCCAAGTGACCAGCAATACATTCTAGTTGGTTCATTCTATCGTTGTTTTCTGATTCTTTCTTTGCAACTGTAATTTCTGCGCCATTGGAGGAATGAGTCATTGTACCATTCCAGTCATTATCCATCTCACCATCTTCACAGATCATAACGGGTTCAGGATATTCTTCATCAGAATCACCTTGAACGATTACTTCAGCATTTGATGGATCGCCACCTATATATCCCCGACAGTTAGGTGAACCACACACACATTTTTTAACAGCAGCCCCAAACACGCGTACATAATTGTAGTCAAATGTAACTTCTTCACCCTGACACACAATAGTTCAACCATCAGAATGCATAAATTTTTTCCAACACTAATCACTCTATGCATAGGAATCAAAAGAACGTAATAAGTTAACCAAAACATGGTGGACTACAAACAGGAGAGCCTAAGACCATCTATCCTTGTATCTGCAATAACTGTGTCTGAAGGTTACTAAGCACTGTGTATTACTCAAAGACAATATGGTGCTGTGTATTACTCAAAACCAATATATGCTAATGGTATAGTACCCCCTCCAAAAAACAAAGAAAAAGAGAGTAAAAGGGTAAACAATTTAAAGAGGAAGAAACCTCCCAGCACAGATGTCCAATTTTCTTCACCAGAGACCAGACAACAATGCAAAATCCAGCAACCTCGGGAAGAGGGAGCAATAAATTGATTCAGCAAATGAGAAATGTATTGTTGAGGGAGTTTACCTTCTTAATATCCCTCAAAGCGAAAAGTCCAACACAAACTTCTCCATCCACCATCCACTGTCAAATAAAAATCTGGCTCAAAATTTTAACAGTACCAAAAGCATGTAATCATTTTTTAGAAGCTGTAGATTTAATATTCTGCTATCGCTAGCTTCTGATCAGAAAATGGCAAAGCTTTACCAAAAGATTATAAATCTACAGAAAGGGGAGAAGGGGATGGGAAGGTCAAGGAGAAAAGAAGAGAAATGGGGAGGAAATTTGATCTAGAAGGGAGGATAATACATAAGAAGTCAGCAACTGCATGGAACTTCATCCTAAACTGTCCTCAAACTATTTAACCGTATAGAAGTTTGAGCTCAAGGGAATACCTTTTCCGTACGACAATTAGGATCACAACTGTGGTTTATGAAACGTCCTAAGTTTCCTTTAGCACATGCATCAATAATCTGGAACAGAAACATAACATAATAATTATGTACAACCCAACCAAAAAAAAGAAAAAAGAAATATCCAGATAAGCATGAATTAGGAACAATCTGACAAAATGAAAAGAGATAAAATCAAGTTTCATCATATTATATATCACGTGCTTCCCCAAAAAGATGGTTATATGCATTAGCTCTTTCAAATTCAGTCCAGCCACGCTTACCCTATCTAGAATCAAATTCAAGCTTAAATTATGCCAAGCCAAAATAGGTCACAAACTCAAACCGTTAACACTGCCTTTTATTGAACGAAACTACTGTGAAATTGAACACCACTGAAGCCCCAATAACCAGTATAAATAGCAACTAGTACACAAAGCAGAGGCCCCAACATTTGCACCTTAAAAATCCTACCACCAAAAATCAATAAATATATAAATAAAAACTGAAAAGGTGTTTCCTATCAACAAAGTGAAGTTATATACTACCAAAATATTCTGGAATGGTCATAAATTCATGAAAATTCCAGTAAAACATGAAATAAAAGTGTTGACGTTGTGTGCTTTTAAGTTACATATAATTACCATATATGAAGCACTTATAATTTTATGGTTCATTCTATGGGATGCTCTCATCTCGAGAGTAAAAGAAAGAGAAGACGCCGAACACGCAAGTCAGAGAAGATGAAAGTACTCAATGTGGTTTCGCTGAACCATTCTAAGAAAAGAAGAAAGCCTTTTCAAAAGATCCCGTTCAGATGGATAAAACGGAAGGCTTTTCCACTCAAAAAGGTACCACTGCAGCATCCCATCATCTATCATGTCAGGATTCATTCTAACCCAATGGCAAAAAGACACAATGTGGATCAGAAGATGAAAAAATTTGCATGCAAGAACTGTTAGCAACAGCGTTAACTCGAGTCATGAAGTGCCTCGAAATGGGAAAAAAACTAACTTTTTTTTTTTGAAAGGTAATCAAGTATTTTATTAATCAAAGAATAGGAAAAAAACAATAACTACAGGGAACTTGGCAACAATATCATGAGAAGCTGAGCTCCTCCAAATTTCAAAGCATTTGATCACTTAAAAGGCGTTTTCTGTTCACTTAAAACTACAAAGAGAAAGTGATTAGGGCCAAACCTCACTGCCATTCAATGTCATGAAGTAAAAATGCTTATGGCCATTCAAAGCATACTCTCTTTGCCGCGCTTCATAAGCATGCACATCAAGCACCTGCAAGATCCACAAACTAACATTGGCATACAAGAAGTGAAGATCGCCACAATCATAAGATCTCATGTACATTTATACACGTTTATTTCACCGTCATTAAAGATCAAACTGCAATGACACTTATTTAAAATATCAACACTCAATATGCTCTCATAGATGTAGCAGAAAATTATAGACAACTATTAAGGGCTTTTCCAGTAATATAGTATTCCCTAGTGACAAGGCCAAGATTTTTTCAAAAACAAACTATTTCCTTTTAAATTACCACTAAAGTATAACAATAAACTAACAAAGTAGTAGCCACGTAAAAAAACCATTAATCTACAAATAGAAGTAGAAGCCTAAAACAAATGAAAAGACTGACCAAATATTTAAAAAAAATTCTGGACTTCAAAGGAAAAGAAAATAAGAGAGAATTGAAAAACGCAAAAACAAATACACAACAGGAGGAAAAAAATAAAAGAGGGGAGAGGGAAGTTACAAGCAGGCTGCAGCTGAAAAATAGCAGTTTTATTTAGTATGCGCATTTGGGGGGTTCTCACTTCAGTTGTAGGAGGATAGGACATATCTCTAATCTCCAATTCTATTGTTTCTAGTTTTAGTTGGATAGTATTTAAACAGCCCAAAAAACCCTGAAAAACATTCTGAGCAAGAAACAACAACCTAAAAAGTTAAAGCGAGTGAAATAGGCTCAGAAAGTGAAGACTAATGAATGCACACCAGCATGCACCTCAGTAAGTTAAACCTTCACTTAAAGAGTAAATATTGAGGTTCAGCTTTGCATGAGGTGTGTCTCAAGGTGCAAGCCCTGGGAACTTTTAAAACAATCATAACTAGCATAGGATACGCTTGATAATGGAGCCGCGGACAACCAATGAGGGACGAAAAGAAAATATTTATTTACTAGCATCTTCAGAATGGCATCACGGAATTTTCCTACTTTCATTGCAAACATATTAAGAGCGTGTTTGAGCCCCTTTTTTGCCCAAAATGCATTTTGGAATAGTATTTTGATGAAGAATATGTGGTTAAAAAATATGGAAATATTTTAGATTGCGTATAATATTATTTTATTGAAAAATGTGTGGTTAAAAATAAGAGAAAGAAAAATGTATTTTGAAAATAATGAGGACCAAAGAAGAGCTAAATGGAAACATAAATATAAGATCACACCACATTGGCAACTTGATTCACATAATTCATTATCATTCATTTGTTCTAGTAAGTATAAAGTCAACATATTGCGATTTTTTTCAACACGTGAAATTCGAAGTACCGAATGAATGGAAATACAAATTACCTCTCCAACATATTCAATAAGAAACTGTCCTTCGGAGATATGCTCATGCGCCTGAAGGCCATAACCCTTCTTTCCACACCTGAACCACTTTAATTTAGCATATTTGCGCTTCTGGAACTGCAACCAGAGTTTGTATGGAAGTGGCCTCAAACACAAACACAAAAACAAACACAAATATGAATGCGGTAATTGCTAAAATGTCAATGCACCTGTTGATTTGAACAAAGTTCACCACATGGACAAGTCCCTTGAACACACTCAATGTTAAGCATCCGGTTCAAACATTTAGCTCCACAACCCCTTCTGCCTTCTAATGGAGGTTTGCAATGGCAAACCATTATCTGTTAGGCACAAATGAGAAAAGGCAAGAAACCAAAAGTTTTAGTTGGAATTCATTAATTTGAAGGTGAGGCTAAAATGCACAATTTCATCCATAATGTCAATAACTGAGACATCTACATTCTCACACAAACCCACGCAGCAGACTGACACATGCACCCAGATGGAGCATGAGATGATATCATTCATGTATCATGCTGCTCCAGGTTTGTAGCATCACTAAGAGTCACAGCAGTGGCAGCAATCAAATTCAATTGCACATAAACCCCAACTATTGCATTTTCTACATGTCCATCACTGGAGAATTTATGATAAACATATGATCCTGCTGATTTGATATCTATTTATTGTTCTTTAACAGGCTCTGGCAAAGGTTAAAAAGAACAGTTCAACCAGCTTTGTGCAGACTATTGACACACTGTAAAGATAATGGCCTACACAACTGCTGGTCGCCCACCAAATACGGCTAGCGTGTAATGAAAAAGATCTCCATCATACTGCTCTTGTAATAACCCAAGATATTCCGAACATGGTATCTATATCTTTGTGTCCTAGTAAGCCTATGGTTCCCAATAGATATCAAATAAATTATTATAGTGAAGGTCATAGTATACAATTTAAACAGTGGCATCAATGGCCTTGTGTAAAAAATAAAACTAAAATAATAACTATCACCCATCCGTTGTTTGTCAGATATGTAGAACATAATTCGTAAAAATTAAAAATGACAGATAAATCGTAGATAATAGAACTGTGGCAAAAAGGCAAAATAAGAAATGAATCGTGTGATGTAGGAAAATTTTGGACATGACCACAAAAAGATTTAAGAACTTCGCTGCATGTACAGAAGAAATGTACACATAGCATTACAGGTACACAGGTGGCAAGCATTCATTGGGCCTTGATCAAAAAACAGTTTTGTGACTGCCAATGCAGTGCTGCTACCTGTGTATCTGTAAAAATTCCTGTACATTTCCCCTATACAAGGAGCTTAATTCAAGATTTAATGAGAAATTTCTTCCCATCAACGTAAAGAACAGCATGTCTCTAGCAGTTCCAGAAAGTCTTTATGGGAGGCGGAAAATATTAGTTAATATAAAGTGGAGTTCTTTATTATTCTTTCAGTAATTTATACAAAAACATAACAAATATTATAAATATATAGGATTTAAGAAAAGGAATTGAAAATCTTATGCACAAAATCATGATGCTAAACAGGAACTTCTTTTTTATGCTTAAAGACTTCAAGTAGAACTTAGTTAACAATGTCTACGTTCTAAATAATATACTGCATCTGCCACCTCAAACCAAGGACCCATTTTCTTGCCCTCATACTCCATGTCAATTACCAAGTGGAGAACTACAAGCTTATACAATCTTGAAATTATCAAAAGCATCGAATCAATTCCGTGTTTGTTCTGTGAATGAATTATTTAATCAGAAATTTCGTACCAATTAAGAAACATCTCCAGGTGACTAATACCTCTCACTTACATAAGCATTCAAAGGTGGTGTGCAAAAGTATTTTATCATGAATGGCAATTGTTACTTATTGTTATGTATTAAACCATATAAAAATTAAAGTTATTTCTATGCAAAATTCCAGTGCAATCAAGTCAGTAATTTCAATATAATATATGCTGGGACAGCATAAGAGGTTAATTTAAACTGATCACCAAATTGTGATATTATAACAAAATGGACACGCATTAGCATTTACCTCATCAATAGTTTGACTTTTACGGCTTCGATGCAGAAACAGGTTTGACTTGATAAGCTTCCAAGAAGACTGTTGAGGAGCTGCAAAAATATAAAGATAACTCAAAGTTCCAGCACAGGAAGAAGTACATCACCTTTCAATGAATTTAAAATACAAGGATGGAGCAACATTATTGTTGTGACGTCATTGTGAAGATCAAATACCTGTTGACTGATTCGGATTCAAGAAGACGCCAGGTGAATCATCTTCACAGGAACCATCGGATATTTCCAGCTCTTCGTTGATCTCCACGTTTGATTTCTCTTGCGGAATTGAGCAGTCAGCAAAGTCTTTATCCTCGTTATCCTTACAAGTCCTTCAATACGAATAAAATATAAGAACAAAAAGACCCTTCCAACTGCAGAGCACAAGAAAAAATCTCGCATCTTAGAAATAATAATTGTAACCAGTACACCCCACCAAGGCTCAACATTCAGGACTTCTCTTCATAATTAATACAGAAGTACTGCAGTACTTTCATGTTCTGAACTCAATAGAGATATACTGCTTTCATCATTTCACTTAAAACCAAATGTTTAAGTTTGTGCTTAAGTCTTCCCTCATAATTAACCATCAAATAAGGGAAATGTGCAGCTTGGTGTTACCTAAAAGACCTAGCAGTAGAGAAAATCCATGCGCACAGCCGAAAGTTCCGAGATAGGGTATGAAATAATAATTTAAGTATCAATGCCAGATGAGTATATGATTTTAAAAGTTCTGGTGCATGAATCGTTCCAACAATACTTTGCTTGCATATCCCATCATTCCTTCTTGAAAACCTACCAGAAGGAGGTTCATTAATTCATCTAAATCTTCATGATCTATTTTAAATGAGGGCGAGTGTATGATTTTAGAAGTTCTGGGCATGAAATGTTCCAATAATGTAACGATTGCATCTCCCATCATTCACACTTCTTGCAAACCTACCAGGAGGTCAAATACTTCTTCTGAATCTTCATGATTTATTTTAAATCTGGTAATGGATCTTATATATAAAAGCATTTGTCTCTAAGAGATTTTACTAACAATCAGCCCCGTAGAAACTTAAACCAGTCCCAAATAATTTCTGAAGAAAAAAATTAAAAAATTATTTGGAACAATTTTGAAAGCATTTTTTGATCTCAAAGACAAGACTATTTCACACTTCTCCCACACTTCCAAACCCAAAATCTTGGGAAGTAAATATCTTTAAGAAATGTGACAACCAATATTAAGAGAAAATGCTTACCACAAATAATATTACATAATTGAATTCACCAAAGATGACGAATTCACCAAATATGACCATATGCATACCTAACTCGCGACAGAATACCAACCATTTTGAGTCTTCTTAAATATTACATGGTCGCATATTATTATCCACACAACACTACACATATAATTGTCAAAAATGGTAGCGATACTTTAAACACGGAATAAAAAGAAAACTTTACAAGATGAGTCAGCCAACTGGACCAGAAAGATAAGATACGCCTTATGCCTAAGTACTCGATTGAGCCTTTTTATATGTTAGCTATGAAAGGTAATTATAAACTATCTGTTGACTACTAATTATAAAGAGGTTTCTGACCAAGCTGTTGACATAAGGGCATGTCATGGCCGCTATACAACGGTAAGCTGCCTATACCACATTAATATTCATTGCATAATTGAACAGCTTAATGCAACAAACAAGATTGCTTACCATTTGTACTTTGGATCTCCAATTTGGTCAGCAAGTGAAGCCGGTATGCGCCTCCATTTATGGCATTCATCACAACGCCCCCACGCATTTCTCGGTGGAACATATTGATCATTTGCCCCACCAAGATGAGATAACACTTTATTTTCTATAAAATTAGTTAAAATTTAGATTAGATAACCGGCCCACCAGGATGTCTTATATCTATTAATTTGGGATTCATTTAAAGCATGATTTGTTGTGCTTAAAGACAAGGCAAACTTATTTTTAAGTCATTTATTATGCCAAATATGATTTTCAAAGTTACTTTTTTCACAAATAAAAACTCACTTTCCTAGAAAGTAAGGTAACTGTAGAAAGTAATCCAACCTTACTTTATGGTGAAGTAGCTTTTAAGCAAAGCAAAAACATGTTCTTAAACTCGTTCTTTTTCCCTTTTATGAGATGAGAGAGGGGAAGAGCAATTTTTCATACATAAATCTATACATAGAAACTTTAATAGTACCTTCTGCCAGGTGGCTTTCTGCTCTACAGAGGGCACGGCTAGTGTCACCCTTCACCTTACGCTTACCAACAGACTTGCTCTTGTTTCCCTTAGTTTTAGAAGCGTTACCTTTCTTACTGGATGAATCCAAAATTCCAGACATATGTTTGCTCCCTTCCTTTGCTCTAGAGCTTTTAGACATTTTTTTCCCCTTCGTACAAGGAAACAATGTCTCGGAGCTCTGCGACTTAAATGGCTCCTGAGCGACTGGAAGCCCAGAAGAAGGATTCATTTCTACATTGTCTTCTAAATTTTTTCCAAAAATTGCAGGTTCTGGAACTGAGTTTATAACTTCTGAATCAGGCGAAGTTCCTGAATCCGAACACCTATTATCAATGGATGCCCCAAAATTATCAACCTCCTCCTGGCAGTTAGTTTCAGGATGGTTGTTGAGCACTTCTTCCTCCAGCTTATTTTCAATTTTCTTAAATAATTCAGGAATACTTTTCCCCGTCGCATGAAAAGTCTCAATCTCATTACCGATGGGGCAAGTTTGGATTGATTCTTTGCCAATTCTAACCTTTAAAGAGATGTGGCCAGTTGGGGTGCACCTTTTTCTCATTGAATTTTCAGAGAGTCGACCTGCCTGTTTCCTATCAGTCTTCCCATTTCCTTGACCACCTCTTACTTTTCTTTGTCGTTTCTGATTGCCTAAATTCGGGTCGATCATAACTTGTTCTTCAGAATCTTGTAATATATCCCCTACAGATCCCCAAACTGAGGAACGAGCTCGTTTGCAGAATAAACTTCTTCTTCTTCTTGAAATTTTCATGGAACTCAAATCCAATGGTAAGTTCTTTTTGGCTGTTTTCCTGCCCTTTCTTGATCGTTTTGGGACATCGCCATTCTTATTTAATTTAGTCTTGCGCCCATTCCTCTTCTGAGTAGATCCATAAACAATTAAAGGATGATTGTTTTCAAGAGTATTGTCATCTTTAACCACATCCTCACTTTCATTATCCCTCTGTATAGTTGGCCCAGCATTGTGAACAGAGTCAGAAGATTCAAGTTTGATAGTTTCCTTTCCTTCATCTACTCTCGCTTCAGATGGATCAGTGCTGCAAATAGGTTCAAAACCACTATCTCTAATGGTTTCTTTTGCAACATCATCCCGTTGCTCATGATGCTCAGCAAAACTGATAGAATCAAAAGAAGGAAGAAGAAGATCGGCACCAGAAAGATCAGATGTCACCAATCTCCTAGGTGACTTATCAGCTCTCATAAATAAGGGTTCAGGCATTTGCGAAGGCACTGATAACTTTCCAACATCAAGATTAAGATCATTGACAGATGCTTCTTCCTTGCAATCACTGATATCTTTGCCTTCCGATACCTCAGTAAACATAATTAACTCGTTCACCAGGATTTGTCACGGAAGAAGAGGAACCTTGGTAGCAGGAACCATCCAAATGTTAAAATACTTTCCTACTAAAGGAAAAAACTCTGATGTATCTGGTGAAAATAAATAAAAAAGCATGGATAAATAAAAGGAACTGAAGAGCAGTAGAACAGCAAAAATGGTAAAAACTCTGGGACAGTGAAAATATACTGGCACAAAGACTCAGGGCTTCAAAATGTCGAAGCAAAAAGTGCAGACTGGAATAGTTCTAAAAGCTAGCTAATAAAGAAAATATAAGAAAGGAAGAAATTAGCTGACGAATGTGTGATACACAGGTAATTTATCAAAGTTCATACACAGATAACTTATGTGTCATATGAATAAGGTTGGAAAAGACAGCAAAATACTTTTAGTGTCAATCCTAAGATCAATTAATTTCACTGAGACAAAATAATGACATTCCAATAAGACCAATCAAATTCCACCTTCCTTTGAAGCTCAATCAAAATCCAGCAATTCATAGATTTACTTGTATAATATCTAAAATGGCGACGATAAATTGATGGGATTTTGATTTTCGAGTACGCTTATTAATGCAGGTAGAAAAATTAGGCAAATACACAGACATACATAACCATAGAAGCAACGCGGCATAAGAAACCCTAATTGTAAGCAAAATCAAAACCCTAATTTAAGAGCTGAAAAGCGCCAATGTCGACACATACATACATGGTAATGCAAATTCATTAAAAACGCTGTAAAAAAGTTCGTACCTGGTAACAAATTCAGAATAAAAACGCCTCGAAAATCAATGGAGAATTATTTATCAATCAAAAGGCACATAGATTCACACAAATATATGTTTATTTATATTCGTGCGTTTTAGAGAGAGAGGGAGGGAGAGAGCGGCTTTCGAGGGCCGCAAAGAATATATAGAGAGAGAAAGAAGAGTCTTCAGAAACGAAAAGAATGGAGTTTTTATCCCGCTGACATATACGCGGTGTGAAGGTACAGCTTTGGTTGCACAGGGTACAATTTGGTAGGTACGTGGATCTTACATGCTTGGACTGCAAGGAGGGTAGTTTGGGTATTTTCATTTTTAGTTAATTTTTATGGAAGCTTCATCTTATTTGGTAATTGTCGAATTTATTCTATTATGATTTGAAATATTTTTGTTTTTAACTTGGAACTTCAAATTATA